AGCTTCGCTGACTTGGCGACCACTCACCTCCTGCTGTGTGGTCTGGTTTCTAACAGGACAAGGGTGGGTACTTGACCATGACCCCGGGGTGGAGGACCTCTGTCCTAAGCTATTCACACATAGTCACTCAGTCCTTACAACGACCAGCCAAACTAGTTGGCACTATTGGGATCCTTGTTTTATTTATTTATTTACCATGTGCGTGCATGGCTTACAGGAGTGAAAGCGTCGAGTTCTCACCACTGGACTACCAGGGAACCCCCGGGATCCCTGTTTAATAGACAAGAAACAGAGGCACTGGAGGTGCCTCTGGATCAAGTTCAAGAGTTCCGAAGTGAAGAAACCAGGATGCACAGTCTGCTCTTCACCTTTTTCTCAGAAGTGAAGATTTACAATGTTAGTTTCTGCTGTCCAGCAAAGTGAATCAATTATACACATGTTGCTGTTGCTCAGTTGCCTAGTCATGCCCGAGCCTTTGTGACCGCATTCTTTTCCATTATGGCTTATCGCAGGGTAGTGGACGCGGTTCCCTGGACTGTACAGCAGGGCCTGGCTGTCCATCCATTCTCTATCTAATAGTCTGTGTTTGCCAATTTCCGTCATCCCTCCCCTCCCCACCCCCTCGGGAACCGCAGATCTGTTCTGTCTGTAAGTCTGTTTCTCTTTTGTAGATAAGTTCATTTGTGCCATATTTTAGATTCCACGAATGACTGACATCATGTGGTATTTGTCTTTGTGACTCACTTCACTCTGATAATCGCTGGGTCTATCTGTGTAGTCATGAACGGCACTAATTCTTACGGCTGTGTGCTCTTCACAAAACTTGCAAATCCATCTCTCTCTGAAAAGCGGGGCCCGTATTTGCTGCTTACACCTGATAGATCTCAGGGTGATGAGCAGTGCGCTGGGTTATCCCCTTGCAGTGGTTCTCTTGTCTTTGTCTTCCTGTCCCCAGCAGGTGAGCCGGGGACGCTTGGCAGGGCCTGCAGTTAAAGCTGTCTTTGGCAATAGCCTGAACCAGGAGTCACCTGAAGGCAGCTGGGCTGAGTTTAACCTTCCAGATATTTTATTTGGCCCACACACCATTTTTAGAAAATTTAGAATTAGTTGTCAATACCAACTACGGGGACAGAAAACAGACCAGTGGTTTGCAGGGTCTGGGGAAGGCCGGGCAAAGGCGCATTCAGGGGCAGAGGTCACGGCTGTGTGACTATATGCAGTAGTTAAAGCTCACGGGATTGTATGCTAGAAAGAGTGGAGTTACTGCATGCAAACTTATTCGTCAGTAAAACTGGGTCTTCGAGATGAATTCCCAGACAGTCGGGGTTTCTGACCTGGGATATGGCCAGCACTGGGCCCTCTCTTCTTGCTGTCCTAACCGCTGGTGGGCTGGTGCCCTGACACCACTCAATTCCTCGTGTTTCCGGAGCATTTGAGGGCTTTTTGTAGCCCAGGGTCTAGCCGAGTGGCTAGAGTGGAGTTACAGAAATCTTTTTCTACTCCTTTTTTTTAAAAAAAACAAGGATAAAAACTAGGAAGCTGAGAAGCAGGGAAAAGAGAGGCAAAGCAGTAAAGTGAGAAGAAAAGGGCTTAATTTTATTCTCTGCTCCCACATATGCCTGGCAGAGCCAGAGTCGACAGGCAGAGTGCTAGGCAGGGTGGACCGATCCAGGCCTTTGGTACAGACAGAAATGTGCCCCTTTCTACGGTTGGTTTCCTAATTCTTTCAGGTTAGAAGATCTTGGGTATATTAGCTAGATACAAAACTTGCTTGGTTGGGAACAGCAAGCACACTTAAAGCTGTCTCCTGCTTTCCTCATTTGGGGGATACCAAAAGGGTAATATGGGCTTCCCTTGTGGCTCAGCTGGTTAAGAATCCACCTCCAATGTGGGAGACCTGGGTTCTATCCCTGGGTTGGGAAGATCCCCTGGAGAAGGGAAAGGCTACCCACTCCAGTATTCTCGTCTGAAGAATTCCACGGACTGTATAGTCCATGGGGTCACAAAGAGTCAGATGTGACTGAGCGACTTTCACTTCATCAGGGGGTAATATGCGAGGTGGGGGTGCAGCACTGCAGGTGGGAGGGAAACAGACAGAAGAAAGAGTGCCTGTTGCTTCCAGCAACCCCGACAAGCCCTCCCCCACCCCGGCCCCATTTCCCTGGGATGCTCTTCCAGGCATTTTCACACCAATCATTTCCAACTCTTCACTCCTGTAGGGCCGGAGTCTCCAGTGGAGGCAGTAAGAAACCATCTCCATATTCAGTGTAAGGATTCCCGCTAATTAATCCACTCCTGGTGGCTGGGTGAGTCCTGATGTCCTTGTCCTTTGAGGTCTCTGACTGGTCTCTGAAGTATCTTAGGAACTAGCCTGAATGCACCACATCCCCAATCCACCCTTCCATCCATCCATCCATCCTTCCTTCCTTCAACTCCACAGATATGTCCTGAGACTTGATATGTGCCTGACATCATTCTCCATGTACGATCACAGGAGTGACTATGCCTGACATGATTCTACGTGTGGGATCACAGGAGTGAATATGACAAAAATCCCTCTTTAAGGATTTACATTCTTGTCGGGGGAGTGAAATTTATGTTGGATTGCAATAATTGCTCTGGTGAAAAACAAAGCTGCAAAGGATATAGCTGGGGACGGTGTTGCTATTTAAAATGGGTCTTCAGGGAAGGATTTTCTTGTAGCTGTCTGAGGCAAGTATGTTATAAACAAGAGAACAGGAAATTCTGGCCCCATCCAGGGCTTGCTCCACCTGGTCTACTGTCTCGCACTCAGCCTGACCTGTCACTCGTACTCCTGTGAGCAAAACTGAGGCCACTGTCCAGCCATCACATCTGGTACCTCTGCAGTTCACACTGACGTGGCATCCTTCATGCCGGATGGTATGAAGGTATCTGGCTCTGCTGAGTACCCAGGGCCTGCTGGGACTTTAGCTGAGTGGGGGAGGAGAACAGATATTGTGGTTTAAATTTAGCTGACAGCATGCAATGAAAGGTCAAGAGCGAAGGAAGGGGGAAAAGAAGAGCTGGGAGAGAGAGAGGCTGCTGCACTGTTATATCAGAATGAAGATGGATAATTTCAGTATCTGCAAAAAGCCTGGACTAGGCAGAGCTGAGGGCAATCCCTGCACTGAGGGGCAGGAAGATGAAGGGGAGGGAGCAGGGAGCCTTGTCTTATTCCATCCTTCAGCTCTAGCCTGTGCGACAACACTCTAAAGGGCAGTAGCTTATCGTACGTGATGACTGGAACCCAGCCATGGCTTGAAAATCCCTGACCTTCTATGGAAACTGTCTTCTCCTGAACAGAATAAATCGTAAGTCTTATGATTGCATGTGGAATTGTCTGAGTGAGGTCAAAAAGACAAAAGATGATTACAGTGAACTTGAATCTCTTGAAGGTGTTCGATATTCTGAAAGGTTGGTGCTCAAAAACAACAAATTCTGCTCTCAAAATCTTGTAGTGAAAGTTAACCACATCTTCCACAGTTGGTGATGGGTTTTTCCCCTTCATGTGGGAATAAGAAATTAAGGCTATTCAGCGGTAAGGTTAGAGGTGAAACACACAAAATAAATCATTAAGTGCAACTTTTCTCATATTACCTCCTCTGGAACCAAGCCAGTGATGAACAGCTAAGGTCAAATGGTTTATCTGCAAACCACTGAACTCAAACCACTGCAAACCCCCAAGCTCATAAAATGTGAAGTATACTGAATACTATAAAGTAACTCAAAGATAGGAATTGGATATAAGTATCTTCTCTGCAAAAGATGTCTCTGCTCAACAGACTCTAAGTATCTGGAATAATTTTACAGTTAAAACAGAGTCGAGGAGGAAGACTGACTTGCTTGAACCCAAGTGCCAAAGAGAAGAGAGTCTGGGTTTTAACCCGCTTGTCTCCCAATTCCAAGTTCACACTGTCCAGCAGCCAACACTGAACTCCTGGAAAGTACAGCCTCTTACGAGATCAACATCACACCAGAAAGGTGGCATCACTGGGGGTTGGCAGCTAAGACATGTGGGTGGAGAAGAACCTAGATCTATCAGTCACTGAAACACTGTTTTATCTGTGCTTCTTTTTGATAATAGCATAAGAAGCTCAAGACTCAAGCCAAATGACCAGAAAAACCTCATGAAAGTAACAGAGCATCTAGAGAAGCTGTCACGTGGATCTTATGGGAACACAGCTGGTGACGCGGCTGCTACCACTCCTGCTTCTCAAACACCAGCTTCTGCTGTAACCAAGAACTGTGAAACCTCACTGAAAGAGCCCTCTTGGAGCCTGAACATTTTTTGTTATTGGGGGGAAAAAAAAAGACAAGGTGATAAGGGAGGACCTAGAGGATATTTAGTATGAAAATCCTCCTTCGAAAGTGACTTCCCTGGTGGTCCAGTGGCTGAGACGCCACTCACAATGCAGGGGCCCCAGTTCCATCCCTGGTCAGGGAACTAGATCCTGCATGCCACAACTAAGAGTTCATATGCCACAGGTCCCATATGCAGCAAAGAAGACCTGGAAGAGTCAAATAAATGAATTAAAACCAGAGCAGGCTGGAATTGTGACAGAAGAGAAATTCAATGTGTGTGTGTGTGGACTGCTTATACCTCTGAGAGGAGAAGTTAAATGATGCCCAGTCACTGAAGGCAACTCAAACTTGGGAAATAACACTGCAATTCTGAGATTCAAGTTTTATTTACAAGTAAATGAAGACTATCCCCTGTAGCCACTCATCTGGGGTGAGAAGAGCAATGTAAGGTAGTACCTGCTGGCTCCACAGTGGAAAGTCAGGAGTCCATGCCACTGTTTCTCTAAACGATGATTTTGTAATTAAAACAAAAAAAAACCAAAACACAAGCCATGATTTCTTCATGTTGCATCTGTGAACGAAGTCAAAATAAAAATGACTTTTCAAAGCTCTAGTCTCTCATCATGTGTGAGGTGACAGCCCCGCTCCCCGAGAGCGGCAGTCTCTGAGCATGAGACTTAATACTCATCGAGAGTATCTGCCCGAGGGATGGACAGGCCTCGGTCCTTCAGGGCCTGCACTTTCAGCTTCTCCGCTTCCAGCTTGGCCTGCTGTTCCGCCCTCTGCTCTTCTAAGATTTCTTCAATAGACACTTGCTGGAGAGGTGTGTCACTCTCCTTTTCTAAGTCCTACAAAACAAGCGGGTTTGGGAAACTTCACCTCATGACCAAGAAGAGAAAACATCACGGATCTAAAGGCAAACGATTCCTGTATCGGGCTTGAGTTACCTTCCGCGCTCGTGCCAGGGCACAGACACCTGTGCACAGGTAACCCTGTACGAAGAAAGGGCTGGCGACGCCCCACAGAGCACACGGCTGTGACCTACAGGAATCCGTGTCGGTGTGCGTAACAAGGGTTCAGTCTGTGCAAAGTCAAGCCTACGTGAGTTAAGAACTACTTTTCTTGTAGCTACTTCCCCAACCCCAGGGAATCCAAGAGAGAAGTCGCTGAGGTCAAGGTAGCTTAGAATAAATTTTGTACTTACAAACGGTCCAAGTCAGCCTAACTTCTGGGGCTGTTCTTTTTTTTGCTAAGAAGTAAAAAACATTGGTTCAAAGTAGCACCCCTGACTCCCAGCCTCCAAAGCCACATCAACTGGCCCTCTGTTAACACAGGACTTCTTTCTCCCCCATGACAACTAGTCTTCCGGAGAAAACCTCAGCAAACCAGTTGGGTTAGTAAATCATTTTGGCCCCAACATTCTTCCCAAATATTGGCTACATTTCCCACTTAATATGATAAAATATGCTAATATATTTATTTTTGAACACCTTAAACATCTGATAACCAACTTGATAATGCAGAATTTTGCTATAAAATTATCTATCTACTGACTGTTTCTTCTCCTTAAGAAGTTTATCTAGGTATCACTTGGTGTTTCTGTAACATGGAAAGCCTCTACGGACAGGGTACTCACATTTCTCCTCCTCCTCTGACTTTTACTTACAAAATCTGGGACGGCATCAACACAAACGCCACCTCTCCATGCGTTCCAGCCTACCGCTGGATACTAATCTGCAGAGGTGGCCAAGGCCTCGGAAGCCACAGTGGTGACACCGCAGATGGAGGACTCTCCCAGAGAGGTTAGAGCGAAAGCCACATAAATTCCATAAGCAAGCCCTGCCCTCAAAACTTAGCTGCATCCAGCAAAATATATATTATCAAGCGTGATCTTCCCTCACAGCCCACGGGCGGCAGAAGGGAAGACAATGTTCTTGGCTCCGTGTCTTACCTCCTGGACTTTCCAATGGTATGTGCTGAGCTATTTGTGTGGTTATGACAATGCTGTTACCCAACAATCAGCTTATTACTTAAGGCTGTGTGTCTCATTATCCTTGAGGTAGAAGCCAGGGACTTCACAAACAACAGTGCGCCTACAGAATGCAAGTGGTTTCTAGTTTTGAGTTTTCCTAGAATTGGTACACAACGTCTTCAAACAGACCATCGATTCATAGAACTGTGGAAGCAGTCCTGAACCATATTTCTTTAGTAATACCACTATAAAAAATTCTGCAGAATCTGAATCGTTAACATACAAAAAAGAAGAGTACTCTTCTCCACGAAAGGGCTCCCAGGAAACAATGACACTTCAAGAATAAACACAAATTCTTCTCTTCACATATATCTACACAGGGCTTTGTCTATGCCAATGTAACTGGCACAGAAAGCGTATCTGTGCTGTTTTCTCCTCTACAATTGAAGCAGAGTGTGTGTGTGGTATTGTGACTTGAATCTTTCCCCTGATAACAAAGTAATAAATTTCCTCTCTAAAAGTTACATTCAGAAAAGTAAAAAAGAAAGAAAAAATAATCACCCACTATCCTACCATCCAGATTGGCCAGTCCCTCTGAATGTACAGTCAGACAACGATCCTAACCCCCACATCCCAGGATACATACCATGGTGCTTTACATCAACCACACACACAAAAAAACCAGCTACAGACCAAGCAGCTTCTCTCTAAAGACTTCTGTAAACCTGACTTAACATGTGGCTAGGGATTGGGAAATGGTACTGAAAACTTTAAAGATAAAATCAAGGTTTGATTTTCCTGGAAAACGCAATAATCAGAAGCACCAGGATCAAGTCAAAGATATTAAATAAAGCATTTTTAAAGTAAATGTTTCATGTAAACTGTGACAAGTTTTATCTTCTTTAAAAATGTCTGAGCAGTTCTAATATATATTTTGGAGGAGTAGTTTTCTAATGGTTCACACACACACACACACACACCTACAGAAACACCACTTGAGAGGATTTAACTTTTCACTTGCCAGCTGGCTTTCCTGACAGATAATAGGAACCTCCTCCTTGACTGGGAGCTAAGAAGCCAAGTGAAATTGAGTCCATTCTGAGAAAATTAAGAAAGGCTTCTTCTACAGTCACTCTTTGCCCCTGCCCCCTTTAAAAACACAGATATCATACTGTACATGCCATGTGCCTTTCCCCCAAACCCAATTACCTTTATGTCATGAAAGACCATGTGTAACCAACTGTTTAAATTACTACAAAGTATTCCAGTGTTAGTAAGCCATATTTCATTGGACTATTCTTCTCTCACAAGGTATCAGGCTTCAATTTTCTGCTATTAAAGATATGAGAATAATCTACTAATGAACACATTTGTGTGGGACAGTGTTTTATATATGTAATGGCTGCACCACTCAGCTCCTGGGATCTTAGTTCCCTGACCAGGGATTGAACCCTGGCCTCTGCGGGTGAGCGTATGGAGTCCTAACCATTGGACTGCCAAGAAACTCCCATGTAGGACAGTATTCTTTATGATACCAGGGAAAAATCAATGATATTTTACTGTTAATGGGATCAAAATCTTTAATATGCCAGGAGGCACTGAAACAAAGTTGACTCTTCTTTGGAGCTCTCCTTTTATAACATCCCTTTCTTAAGCTAATTTGGTGGTGTCCTGTGAGAAGCTGGGTCAAGGCGAAAACACTTTTTCCTTCTTGAAAAGACAAAAAGAAACCTAACTGGCATGATTATCAAGAGACACAGCAGCTTAACAGTTTTCACTTACTATTTCTCCTAGCAGGACCACATTTTCTCCTCTGACCACAAAAATCCCTCGAGGAATATCACCGTATTTCTTGCCCACGTGAATGCGTTCCACAGTCTGATGCAGCACTAAGTTAGCTACAAGTGTACCGGGAAGAAACAAAGACATTTAGTGCAAATTACTCTACAGGTAAAAGCCCACAACTCAGTCAGTTACCCTGAGTACAAACGACTAGCTGAACATGATTTTCAAACTTTCTAATTCTGGAAAAGGCTAAAATTTCAAGCCATCTTGTCCTACTTCATTCAGACACATCACTTGGAGATTTTTAAACAACTGCAAATAGAGTACTTGGGATTATGTTGCACTAATACAAGAAGGATGATGGAAATAAATGAAGAAAATTAAATTCCTTATGAGTTCATTGCTGATATCAACATGACTATAAGAAAATGATAGGGCACTTGGAAAACTCTAAAGTCCAAAGAACTGTAGAAATAAGCTTTTTTTCTTTTAGAAGGAAACATTTTTTTCTACTTTGTGCAGGTATGTATGTGTGATGATTTACCAAAGATTTAACTTTGTTTCGGTACGGATGAATCATTTAATTCAATGTAGGTATTCATGGATTATGATACAACAGTAATCTGTTTTTTTCCCCTTTGTCAGATGACTATAATTTGGTAATCTGAGAGTAACCTTAGTATTCATTACTTTCCCCTCATGTAGTCTGATGAATTTGACTTAAAAGTTTAGAACCACAACCTGTGCAGAATAATTGCTTTTCTTCTTTCAGTTGGTACTGTTGTCGTCTTTGAAGAAACAGTACTATCATTTGTGATTCTTATAAATATTTCAATTATGTTGTTCTTCCTTAGGCCCAAAGCCACTGACCTAGCTAATGTCTAGCAAATGTTGACATGAACTGGAAGTTCCTCAAGACAGGAGCAAATATAAGGTCTCTTTAGAAAACACAAGAGACAGAATCAAGATTAAGACCTTGAGTCTGATGTATCCCAAAGTATAAAATCCTGAGCTTAATGTTGGGGGTCCCTAAAAAGCTTCAGGAAAGGCCTCTGACCCACTTCTCATTGGACAGGGAGGGATTACCTTCAGGGCAGGAACTGCTTTGAAGAGTAGTCGCACCCAAGCCAATGTACAAATGAGCAGCCTTTTCAGTGGACTGAGTGTATTTCTATCATCTGGCTCCCTCTAATGGGGAAAATAAAAAATAGTCCAAAACACTGTAATCACATGTTCTAGTAGTGAAAACCAGTTTTAGAAATAAACATAAGCTTGTAAACACAAGCTTTCAAACCACCTAATTGTAATTTAGAAAACAATGATGTAGTGACTTAAAACAGTATTCATCATGCCAGGTACATGAAAAAAGTTGCAGATAAATAAACTTCAATACGAAACAGCACAAAAATACAGTGGGCAGCTCTTATCATCCAGAGTATGGGATGGAAAGAGCCATCATGACTCTTATCATCATGGATTTATGATAAGTCCATGAGTAATACATACCAAATTGATCAATGCTTCTCAAAAAGCCTATAAGTGTCCTTCCATCTCGAAGCAGGACCAAGTGCTTTTCTGGGGAGAGGAAAAGAGATCTTTAAAAAATGAACTGTTAGCTTCAGCCCGTTTACAGGGAAACAAAAACAGAGTTAATAGCAGATTAAGCTTTACCACTTCCTTTTACAGCGCATTTAAGGCAGAGTTCATTTAGAAACCAGAGGGATGACCACAGGAGCTGGGGATTAGCTTAGATGAGAAGATGGGTGATGAGAAGCATCTAAGAGGGGCAGCAGCGCGGGGAAGGTCTGCACACGCAGTCAGGGGGCTCAACAGACTGGCGCCAGGTGCTGGTGCTTGACAGCTAAACCCTGTCAGTTTCTATACCTGCCAATCTGGACATTTAATCTAGATGGTCTTTATGATCTAATTTTCCAAAATTATTTTCCCCTCAACTTAGACAGAGAGTCTCTATTTCACATTCTGGAATCAGAGACAGTTTTAAATAAAAACAGTACCAAAGACATGTGAAATGAGGATGCTGATAATAAAACCAGAGCAAAAATTCAACAGAATGTATTGAGGGCTATGTGCTGTTCTGGGGCCTAGACATACAGTAGACAATAAGACTCAGAGTCACCAACTTCATGAACTTATAAGCCTGGTGGAGAAAAGCAAACACACTTTAAAAAATGACCTATGGTGATTAGTCTAGCAGAATAAAAACAAGATAGCAGAATAATACGAGAAAGGGAGGGGAAGAAGCTATAGGAGAGAGGGTGGTGGGGACTTCCCAGGTAGTTGGCTAAGACTCCGAACTCCCAATGTAGGGGGCCCAGGAACAAGATCTCATATGCCACAACTAAGAGTGTGCATGCTGCAACTAAAGATACCATGTGCTGCAACGAAGACCTGGTGTAGCCAAGTAAATAAATAAACACAGGGGAAGAAAAAAAAAAAAGAGAAGGTGGCTAGGAAAACCTTTCTGAAGAGGTGACTCTGAGCCGACACTGAAGAATGACAGTAAGCCAGTCACTAGAATAGCTAGTAAAAAATCACTTATTCGTCTTTAATGCCACGCATAAAGTACTTTCTACATGCAGAACTTGGACCATAAAGAACGCTGAGCACCAAAGAACTGATGCAAGACTCTGAAGAGTCCCTTAGGCAGCAAGGACATCAAACCAGTCAATCCTAAAGGAAATCAACCCTGAATATTCATTGGAAGGACTGATGCTGAAGCTCTGATACTTTGGCCACCTGATGCAAAGAGCCGACTCAATGGAAAAGACCCTGATGCTGGGAAAGACTGAGGGCAAGAGGAGAAGGGGGCAAGAGAGGATGAGATGGTTTGATGGCATTATCAACACAATGGACATGAGTTTGAGCAAACTCTGGGAGACAGTGAAAGACAGGGGAGGCTGGCGTGTTATAGTCCATGGGGTTGTAATGAGTTGGTCAGCACTGAGTGACTGAGCAACAACAAGATGCAGAACAGTGCAATAAGACAGTGAGTCTTTCCGAAGGAATTTATAGGCTTTTTTTTGGCTATAATTAAGTACCACAAGAGGGCAAATCTTAATTACATGAGAGTGAGAGAAACTGTATCTAGCTGGAGGTATCTGAGTTGGACCTTAAAGTGAAAGTGAGATGGATGAAACTGGAGCCCATCATACAGAGTGAAGTAAGCCAGAAAGATAAAGACCAATACAGTATACTAACGCATATATATGGAATTTAGAAAGATGGTAACGATAACCCTATATGCAAAACAGAAAAAGAAACACAGATCGGGTGGAGAGGGAGGTGGCAGGGGGGATCGGGATGGGGAATACATGTAAATCCATGGCTGATTCATGTCAATGTATGACAAAAACCACTACAATATTGTAAAGTAATTAGCCTCCAACTAATAAATGGGGGAAAAAAAGTGAAAGTGAAGTTGCTCAGTCGTGTCCAACTCTTGGCGACCTCATGGACTGTAGCTTACCAGACTCCTCTGTCCATGGGATTTTCCAGGCAAGAGTACTAGAGTGGGCTGCCACTGCCTTCTCCAATGGACCTTAAAAGGTAGATAATTTTTGGCCATGGGAAGAGTGACAGGGACTGGGAAGAGTGACAGGGTCTGGGAAGAGGAGGGAAATCTATAATTTAGGCAGAAGAAAAGGGAGCTGTGTATCCAAATGTGTGGCTAAAAGTTGAGGGTGTGAAGGGAATAGGAGATGAAGTCAGAAAAGTACTGGGAGCAGGCTGAATTTGGATGTGACTTCATGGGGAACAAGACAACTCTGAAGATTCAACTGGCAGAAAAGAGAGAATGGTTTTGAGGCTATGACCAGAGTCCGAGACATGAAGAAAAGACCTGAACCAGGGCAGAGATGAGAAGGGAAAGGATGAGAGGATCAAGACACTACAGTTATAAGGGATGGAATTGGTCAACCAAGTGTGTTTGTATATGTGGATATGTATGTGAGAGAGTGGGAAGCTGAAGAGATGGGTTAAAGATGATGCAGGAATTTTGAGTCATCCTGTCAGGGAGGACCATGTACCAAAAGTTAGGAGTGAAACAACAGTTAGGAGTGAAAGAAGGAAGATCCCGTGGAAGGTGTTTTGCTGTTGTGATTTTCAAGTGGTATCAAGACACCTGTGCAGAAATGTCAGCTGCAACTGGAGATGTAAGACTGGAAGGCCAAAGAAGTCTGGATCAGAGCAATTTTCAGTATGTCCACAAAGAGGTGATATCAATATTAAAGTCCAGGAATTCTTCTAGAGATTTAAATAAAGCTGTGGCCAAAGATGGAACCTAGGAGTCCATCTATTTTAGGAAACAATAACTGTTGCAGAGATAAGAAAATCAAGTACCAGTGTTGCAGAAATCAAGAAAATGAAGAATCATATGATAATGGTATCAGTGTGCCAAAAAGAGGAAAGAATGCATTAGACAGATGTCTTTTAAGATTGCAGTTTCAGTAGTGTGTTGACAAAAAAATCTGATTGCAGGGTGATAAGAGGTGGTCTACTCCAGGTAGCCAGGAAATGAGTTAAAATGGGAGATGATTTAAGAGGTTTGGGGGTACAGACGTGAAAAAAGGAATGGGAATTGGATGGTGAAATATAACTGGAAAAAAAATGACAGACAAGAACATACATGAGTGGGAGCAAGAAATATGAGAGAAAAAGGCTATTAATGGATTCCAGAAGCAGCTGGAAGGAAAGAGAAATAAGACACAGACTGAAAGGGAGGAATACTTCCAACTGAGATGAGAGGATGGGTGAAAATACAGAAAGACTGAGGAGAGAGGATGAAACTGTGTGTGTGTGTTGCAGTGAAGGCTGCATATGAAATGATTCGAAACCACTCAGTAAAGGAGGGGCTTGGAATCTGCAAAAAAGAGGTTACAGACTTGAGAAAAACAATTATTTTTAGTAGAATGGCAGGACGTGCTAGGGATCTCAAATAACTCAGATACATAACAAGACAGGTGAGGGCACCATCCTCAGACAACTAGAATTAAAGATGTCATTACAAGTAACAGACAGGCCTGTACAGTGGTTATTCACACATAAATTTGATCCAAGCTACACTACATTCCCTTCAGTAGCAAAATCACTAATTTGGATCTAAAAAGTGATTTCAGACGATAGCAAGAGGATTTCATCACAAATTCACTCTTTACATACACAGTAACTGCAGAGATTGCTCAACTTGTTTGGAACTGTGTGTAACTGTTTCCCAGCAATTACAAGTTAATGAGACAGATCACACAACTGGCACAACTTTAAAAAATGTTTTAGGTGTAACTCACAGATGAGAGTTTGGAAAAACGAAAGACAACTGATACAACCGAGCTCTTCTTCAGGATAGTGACTAGGAATAAGGGAGGCCTTAACGGCAAAGGAAAACTAAAGGAAGAAAAAAAGTAAGTTTGAAGTGACTCAGTCTTTCTGGAAAAATCACTACCTAGTCTGAAAACCTAAATACTCCCAAACAGTAAAAGACTGCAAACGGCCACACCACAGTATAAACCCTACGTTTAGTGCTAATTAAGTCCAACTGATGTTGTATTCGGAGAAGTCAATGGCACCCCACTCCAGTACTCTTGCCTGGAAAATCCCATGGATGGAGGAGCCTGGTAGGCTGAGGTCCATGGGGTCGCTAAGAGTCGGACACGACTGAGCGACTTCACTTTCCCTTTTCACTTTCATGCACAGGAGAAGGAAATGGCAACCCACTCCAGTGTTCCTGCCTGGAAAATCCCAAGGACGGGGGAGCCTGGTGGGCTGCCGTCTATGGGGTCGCACAGAGTCGGCCACGACTGAAGCGACTTAGCAGCAGCAGCAGCTGTTGTATTACTGTTTTCGTTTCTGCAAGAATCTTTTCTCTAAGAATTCTCATTCATCCACCCAGTAATCACCTGATATTTCGAAATGCCACAGGTGAGAGACAATGGATCGGGGAAAGGGTAACCTTCACATATGAGCTTCAGCAGCTGCATCCCTGAAAAGCAGAAATGAATTCTACGGCTTGCCCGGGGGACCGGTGGAAGCTGCGAGAGGCGGGATGCAGGGAGTAGGCGAGAAAGTGGCAAACGGTGTGTCCCGTGACTCAGGCATCCTCCGGACGATGCCAACGCCGAACGTCCAGAACTGCACTAAAAACAAACCGCCCCCGGCCCGGCCTCATTCTATCAGCTTCCTCCTTAAGAGGCACCCGCCTGGGAGGAAGGGTCTCACCCCAGACTTCACTCTGAGGAGATGAACTACTTACTGTCGATGTCCTCGATGAGGCTGGCGGTGCCGGGCATATAGTTCATTTTGAGTAGAGACAGAGCTGCAGTGTATAGCGGCGGTGGGCCAGTGCGTCCCACACCTCCTTCCTCCTTACCGCGGTCGCCGCCTCCGCGGGACCGGGACAGGAACCCGGACCCGGACCAACGCCGCCGCCCCGGCTTTCAGTAGCCGGGGCCTGCAGGAAACGCCGCCATGTCGCCCCACCCACTTCCGGCATCACGTGCCCGCCTTCAGGAAGAGGTGGGACCGTTCATGTGGTTGCCCCCGCCCCGGGATACCTTTTCCATATCCCTGACGAGAAGGGGAAGAGGAGTTTAGACTGCACGGACAGTGCGGAGGTGTGTTCTCCCTTTTAGGAACGCTCGTTCTCCTGCTTCCTAGACCCCAGAGTCACGGACACCTCCCTCGGCCTCTCAGGACGCGGAAGCGGACGGGGGCGGGATCCGGCCTAGGATTGGCTGTTGCAGGCCGACCCCCTTTCCTTGCGGTCCATTCGCGCTCCCCCGCCGGCGCCTGCGCGGTGGGCCGGCCGTGGGGGGCGGGGGGGTGGGAAGCGCCTGTGGGCGGCAGAGCCCATGTCGGCCTTGAGGCGCTCGGGCTACGGCCCCAGTGACGGACCGTCTTATGGCCGCTACTACGGGCCTGGGGGTGGAGATGTGCCGGTGCACCCGCCTCCGCCCATCTACCCCCCGCGCCCCGAGCCTCCCCAGCTTCCCATTTCCTGGCGGGGGCGCGGGGGCGGCCCGGCGGAGACCACCTGGCCGGGGGAAGGCGGAGGAGGCGATGCCTACTACGCGTCTGGAGGCGCCTGGTCAGAGCCGGGTCGTGCTGGCGGAGGCCACCAGGTGAGCTTTGCGCCGCCGGTCCCCGGGGTGGGGTGGGGGGGTCCGATAGGGGAGTCTTTGGGGGTGAGGGCCATTGGGATTGATAAAGCTCCCAAGAGTTCGTAATGAATTGGCTTTCGTGCGTTTTCCTATTACGGCTTTGGAGAGACAAGAGACCAGGATCGTGGGTGGGGGTATATGCTTGTGTTTTCTCTGCCCCTCCTGTTGTGCTTTTGCCATAATAAATGTCTTCTTACCAGGAAAAAAAAAAAGATCTGCGCTGAACCTGCTAAGCTGAGTAGCAGGCTATAAATCTCTCGTCTGGGGGACGAGATTGGGCTGGAGTGACCTGGCTTTGCTTTTCCAGTCCTAACAATTTATCCTGCGTGGTTCGTGGGGGCCGGCTCTCTCCAAGGAGGGAGGTGGCCGCAGCCCCCTCCCGCTGGGAAGGAACGCGAAGGAAAGGGAGGGACCTGGGCATTTAGCCCTTTGCCCCTAAAGCATTGCCCGGCATTGAATCACCGATCATCATTAGTGTTGGAAAGCACTTATCCGTGGGTTGTATATAATCTTAACGGTGACTGCGACGTAGATATCATCACAGCGTCCCTGTTTTACGATGGAAGAACTGCTGGCCGTGAAAGGTTAACTCACTTGCTCAATATATTCAGACCTCTGACATTTTATTTTGTGTCGTCGTGCCGGAAATACTACTTCTGTTTTGTTAATGCAATATTCTTCGTAGAAGATTACGGTTCTATGGTGAGGGCATACCTCTTCTTGTCTTCAGGAATTATAACAGTCTCATTGGTTGAAATTTAATAATGAAATTCCCAGACATTGCTGGTGGAAATGTGAAATGGTTCAGTGTTTTGGAAAACGGTTTGGCAGTTCGTAAAAACGTTAAGTGTTAGCAAGCTTGCTGCTAGATATATACCCAAGAGAACTGAAAACATGTCCACATAAGAACCTGTACACACATGTTCATAGTAACATTATTTATAATAGCCAAAAAAGGGAAATATCCCAAATGCTCATCAACTGAGGAATTGATAAAAATAGTATATTCATACCCCTGGAGGGAATTGCAACCCACTCCAGTATCCTTGTTTGGAGAATCCCCATGGACTGAGGAGCCTGGCGGGTTACAGCCCATAGGATCGCAAAGAGTCAGACAGCACTGAACGAACGACTAAGCACAGCGCAGCACAGTGTATTTATGCAATGAAATTGTTTAGCCATAGAAAGTAATGAAGTATTGTGAGACATTCTGTAAATGGATGAACGTTGAACATATGCTACATGGATGAAGACGCAAAGACCAAATGGCTGTATGAATCCATATTTTGGAGAAATCCAGGATATAGAAATCTGTAGAAAAATTTGTTTGCAGGGGCTGTGGACCTGGGGACGTTGAGGAAGATAGATAAAGGGTATAGAGTTTCCTTTGGGGATAATGAAAATATTCTGGATTTAATGATGATAGCTGCACAGGTCTGAGTATATTAAAATCATGAATTGTACACTTTAAAAGGGTGAGTTTTATGGTATGTTATAGCTTTAAAAAAATTGTATGAGATAAAACATGTAGTGAGAGGTTAATTGTTAAGAACGGTCCATAATTTCTCTGTCTAAATCTGGAATAAGGAGCTGTGGGATTTTGGTCCCATGACGGAGTAGCGTGATGAAATACTTGGCCTGTAAGTAGGCAAACTAGACTGAGGCTCACTTGAAGGGATAGAGGGGAGGCCCACTGAGCTGAAGACACTGCCTGGACTTGCTGTGCTATCAAAACAAAAATATGTTTTGTTTTTGTTTTTGGTTAGGGTTAGAGAGGACTTCCTAGGTGCCTCAGCAGTAAAGAATTCGATCCCTGGGTTGGGAAAATCCCCTGGAGAAGGAAATGGCAACCCACTCCAGTGTTCTTGCCTGGGAAATCCCATGGACAGAAGAGCCTAGCGGGCTACAGTCCGTGGGGTCACAAAAGAGTTGGACATGACTTTGTGACTTTTTTTTTTTTTTAAGGTTAGAGAAGTTAAGATCTCAGTGTCATGCAGGGAGTTGTAGGTTAAGGTGGAGAACAGGTGTGCACACAGGTGGGTGATGGTGCTGGAGGGGTGGAGGATAAAGCTGGAATGTGTGATGGGCATTTGTAAATCATTTCAAGAGTCTTTCAGGCAGATATTTCTGAAAGTCAATAAGTATCGGATGATACTTTCTTAGGCAGCAGTAGGAAACTCATAAAAAAGATAAACGTGATGTCCTACATACTGCAAACGTCTTTTCTAAATTTGTGGCTTGTCTTTTGACTTTTTTGTGGTTTTTGACATATGTTTTGCATTTTTATATAGTCAAACATGTCAGACTTTAAAAAGGTATAGGAACCCTTTAAAACGTTACTCTAAAACTGTGGGCCATGGACCAGAAGCTTCAACTTCGCTTGGGGGCTGTTATAAGTGCAGACTGTTTCCTCCTCCATACTTACTGCTGCTGCAGATTAATAAGATCCTCAGGTGAAGCATATGCATATCATGTTTGAGAAGCGTTGCACAATGGAATTGAATGGATTGAGATGAGGTTGCTCTGAACCATTACAAAGGCTTGACTCTATATTAATGTATTTAAATATGGCAGGACAAAAATGGAGAACCTCTTACTGTTTTCTTTTCTTTTTTTACTTTGTTAGCTAGACTTGCAGCGCTGTAGTTTGATTCCTAATCTTGCAGCACATACATCACCTAGGAGCTTGTTGGAAATGCTGTATCTCAGGCCCTGCCCAAAGCTTTTAACAAGATATCACTTTGCCAACAGAGGTTTGTCTAGTCAAAGCTGTGGTTTTTCAGGTAGTCACGTACAGAAGTGAGAGCTGAACCAAAAAGAAGGCTGAGCACCGAAGAATTGATGCTTTCGAACTGAAGTGCTGGAAAAGACTCTTGAGAGTCCCTTGGACAGCAAGGAGATCAAACCAGTCAATCCTAAAGGAAATCAACCCTGAATATTCACTGGAAGGACTGATGCTAAAGCTGACATTCCAATGCTTTGGCCACCTGATGCGAAGAGCCAACTCATTGGGAAAGACCATGATGCTGGGGAAATTTAAGGGCAAGAGAGAAGGGGGTGACAGAGGATGAGATGGTTGGATGGTATCATCAATGGACATGAGTTAGAGCAAGCTCCGGGAGATAGTGAAGGACAGAGAAGCCTGGTGTGCTGCAGTCATGGGGTTGCAAAGAGTTGGATGTGGCTGTGACTGAACAACAACTGGGTGATTCACATGTTCCCCAAGAACAAGTCCTCTGAGAGAATGCTGAGATAGACAGAAGCTGGAAGCCGCAGCCTCTCATAACCTCATCTTGGTAGTGATACACCTTCATTTATGCCGTCCATTACTAGTCATGGAGACTGACCCCGGTACAGTGTGGGAGGCATCTTCACTCAGATGTGCATACAGAAGGCAGGGGTCATTGGGAGTCATCGTGCAGGATGGTTTCAATGGGAGGGTTTGGGGAGACAGTTCAGGTTAGGCTCCCAAATTAGGTCAGAAAAGAAAATGGCATGTGTTTGAACAATGTCTGAATGTAGATAGGTTTTCTTCTCAACATTTTATTATAAATATTTTCAAACATAGAAAAGTTGAAATTGTACGTGAAGACCCACATACCCACTACCTAGATTTTATTAGCATTTATTACATTTACCACGTCTATCCATCTTATTTTTTGGATATGTTTTATAATGAGTTACATAGTTTCAAAAGACATTTTCAAAGGTGTGTATCAACTGGAAGTGAGGATTGCAGGAGAAACAGAAGGATTCTGAATTTTTAGTATTTCCTAGGATTAACAAGGAAGAACAGATTTTTATGGGAAGATGTGGTTTAGTTTTGTACCAAAGAACTATGGATCATTTCTTTTCAAAAAACGATGTTGATTTGTTTGGCTGCATCAGGTCTTAGTTGGGGCATGTGAGATCTTTGTTGCATCGTGTGGGATTGTTCGTTGCGGTGTGGATGTGAGATCCTAATTCCACAGCCCGGATGGGACCCCTTCGCCTGCATTACAAGGTGGATTCTTAACCACTGGACCACCAGGGAAGTCTCACCTTTATTTCATTTCTGCCGGAAGCCAGTTTGTGCTGGTGGTTACCAAGCTCTGGATGCAGTGTATGCGACTGATGAATGAGATGCCTAAGATTTTGTTTTTGTTTTCCGATATCCAGTTTTACAGTCTGTGGCATTGAGGAGTTGTTGTCTGTGGGAACAAAGCAATAGATGTGGGACTCAGCAGGGAGTCGGGGGATGGAGACAGTGATTGGAGAGTCACTACATGGAAGCATGGGTGAATTACCTGATTGGGTTATGCTGCCGGGGGAGAGCTTTGAGATCTAGGAGGGTAACAGAGAGAAAACCCAGAAGACAATGAGTGAGAATACTTGGATAGGAGGAAAAGCAGGATGTCATGTAATATAGACCACCGCTACTTTGCAGGTTAGTGATATGAGAACTGAAGAGAAGCATTTGGATTGGCAGTTAAAGTATTGCTGGTTCTAGTGGTGGGACTTTAAAATAGTGTTAAAGTAATGATTGGGGGATTTGGGAAGACAACTAGTGTAAACTGTTAGTAAATGAGAAAATGGCCACTTGACTGGGAACCAGGGTTGAGGGAAGCATTTTTAGGATTCAGTGGCTTGAGAATGTTTGTCAGCAGAGGAGAGAGAAAGCTAGTAGATTGTGAAAAAAAGATACTAACAGAAGGATGGAATGTGTCTTGGGGAGAGGTGGAGTAAGAAGTGAGGAAGACCCGAGAAACCTCCTCAGAGCTAGAGAAGGGGAAATGAAGCTATTGAGAGGGGAGGGCATTGCAGGATTTTCAGCTCTTGGTTGATGAAGCAGGAGGCCATCTGAGGGTCAAGGAAGTGGGATGGGGTAGCTGGGAACTTGATATGGTGATATTTGAAGCAGGTGCTAGGGAAAAGGAAGGCTGTGTAGGGAAGCACAGCAGAGACCCACGTGACAGTAAAGC